TTAGTAGCAGAACACAACAAAGATAGGAAAAAGACAATTACAAGACTATTTCATGAACCCGATAAAAAACCATGTGTGCCATTATGATAAAATCGTGTCCACTCTATGTAAAAAGAATCAAGCATTTGACCAGTTATCCCAAACACGGAAGGTAAGGTTAACGTTTGCAATGTCATCTGTAGGATTATCCACACTAGTAGATTAAAGAAACAAAAAATATATGATCACTTCAGTATACGCATGAGATAAAATTCAGCATATATTTATGATACAAATTTTAGTCAGGTAGCAGGAGAAAGGAATAACTTTACCCTGACTTAAACATCTATAATGACATATTAAAGGTTATTTTGAAAGCTTCTTGAGATTGGCTGAATAAAAAAATCTATTATCACTGTAATCCCTCATGTTTTTGAATTTCCTGAGCTTTATAGTAAAAAATGGAAAATACGATTTCTAATACTGGGAAAGAAAGGAGCACTATTTTTTATCATTGAAAAAATATATAAATTTTAAGGGGAAACAAAAAGAATCCTTAGTTAAATTATTAAAATTATTCAAAGCAATTTTCAAAGTTAATGAGAGCAAAGTCAGTACAAAAATCATTCATAAAAATAGGTTGAACCCAGGAATATAAAAATCGTATAAAACCTGGAAGAGGAAACAATGTATAAACTAGGCTCAAAGTGATTAACACATGTTTAAATGAAAACGAATGTATGATAATTTGAGATAAAGGGAATTATCCATAAAAAATAGAATAATGGGATAAACAAAAGCAAAGATAACAGATTAGAAAAGGGGGTGCTGAAATCAAACGAGGCAAATTATATCAAATGCAAATATCAACTACTGCATAGAACAAAGAAGAGACAAGGAAGAAAAACGTAAGGGGAGAAATTAGAAAATACACAGATTGCGTGGAATTTTTAAATAGTTGTCAAGAAGCTAAAAAGTCAAAATACAATGAACGAAGCGTGATACGGTTTTAAAATAAAACTGAAGACAATGCAATAGTATCAGAGGAATGAAAGATATTAAAGAATGAAATGAATGAAAGAATGAAAAAAAGTTAAAGCCACAGATATGGAAGAGAAATGGCCACAGTAAAATGAGAAAGAAAGGGAAATCTGATAAAAAAAAAAAAAATTGAGGTCTCTGCGGGAAGCTCACGGCGACAATGAGAATCTTTGTACCTGCCTGTCACTCTCAAGGATGAGTGTCCGGGAGCCTTACGAAGGACAGTCAGCTTCCTCACGACAGTGAGACCTCTTGACAAGGACAGGTCTGATTGGCGATGACCATATATCAGGGACAGGATAGCGGGACTTCTCCCAACGGATTGCCTGTCACCTGCCATCTCCACGTCCTTGTTTATCTGGAATCATTTCGATGCGCCCAGAGGAGCCACAAAACACTCTCCCAGACGCATAATGACTCTCCTGGTAAATGCATCAGGTTTATGAATCAAAGTGCAGAGGACGTTTTTCCATAGTGTAGTGGTGAGCACGGCTGCTTTACACGCAGAAGATCCTGGGTTCGCGCCCGAGTGAAGCCAGGGTCCATGGTCTGCGGCCATGCCACCCTGAACAAGCCTGATGTCTGGTCTTGGAAGCTAAGCAGGGTCGGGCCTGGTTAGTACTTGGATGGGAGACCACCTAGGAAGACCAGGTGCTGTAGGCATTAAAAAAAAAAAAAAAAGTGCAGAGTCTCCACCTGGGAGTATTCATGTCCCTTAGTCAACTGCAGGATAAAGTAAACTCAGTTCAACGTTAGTTTTCACTCCGCCGAAGCTGCTGTTTATTTTAGTTCCTTCGCTTTCTAGAAAGCGCAAGCACAGGTGAGTGCGGTGAGTTTTACTGTGACCCAGCCGTCACAGGTCTTGCTCAGGATGGTGATGCACATGGTTGACTGTGCACTCCGGTTCTCGTTTTAAAATTAAAATATATGTTAAATAATTCCAAACGTTTTACTGTTAAATATTTCATACATAATATAAAATAATAAAAGAACCTAAATTATAAAAATAATAAAAGAACCTAAATTCACATACGACGGCTCAGTTCATAGAAAATTATCGATAACTCTGAACATCTATACATTACCATGCTTTCCTCTCGCCTTCCGAGTTAACCATTCTTTTTAACCAGATTTATTGAGGTATAATTAACAAATAAATTGTCTAACATGATGATTTGATATACATATATGTTGTGGAATGACGACCACAACAGATTAACACATCTGTTACCTCACACTGATTCTTTCTGTCTTTATTTGGCGAGAACACTTAAGATCTACTCTTTCAGCGGATTTCAAGTCTACGATACAGAATTTATTAAGTGTAGTCGCCACGCTGTTCATTGCATCCTCAGAATTAGGGCTAACCGTTCTAGAATGTTTTTTACATGCCATCATTTTGCCTTTTCTTATACATTTAAAATTCTGTTAAAATAATGTTTATATGTTTATATAAATTAATATAAACATTATATAAAATAATGTTTATATGTTCTGTTAAAATAATGTTTGATTTCACCTCCTGTGCGTAGCCTTATCCCGTATGTATTCTTATCAAACTCGATTTTTTAATTTTTTATCCGCGAAGATATATTTGTGAAATTGGAGAAGATTAAATTGGTAGTCGAAGTTAATTCATTTGTCCCGATGCTTTATATTCTCATTGATTACTATACCGTGATTTTTGATCAATTCTCAGGTTGATAAATCTGGGTTATTTTGACTTATTTCTCTGGCCCAGAGTGCCAAAGTAAATGGGTCTCCACGTGTTCCTGGAGCACAGATACTTGCATTTGTTTCTAGAGTTTATAAAAAGGCGAGAAAATCTGGCACTAAGGTATGTGTCTCTTTCATTTCACGCTGTGGTTTCAAATTAGTTTCCAAAGTGAACATTTATATAATAAATAATGGTACTTAAATGTTTTTCGTGTACTCTCCAAGATCCTGGAGACTCTAACATTGGCAATTTGATGAAGTAAAAGGCTGTCTCCATACAGTTTTTATACAAGGCCCCTGGTAACTAGAAGCTGAAATTTTTTAATTGGTTTAATCTTACTCATAACATTTGCCCATTTTAAATCAGGAGCTTTATATTTTTGTATTGACATAAAACAGTTCGTTGTATATTTTTAAAATAATCTACTAATTACATTTGCCAGTTTGTGGATTTTTTTTTTTTTTGGCTCCTTATTGTTAACATACTCAAATTTATCCATCTGACTCTTAATAATTTGTGCTTTTGTCCTTTTTTAAAAAAGTAGTTGAGGTATTTTTCTATTTCGCAGGCAAAATTATAAAGTTCTACCATCGAATTTAAAAGCTTGCTTCTACTTCAGGGTAGAATATAGAAAGCCACAAAATACCATTGTTCCCTTTATGACAATAATAGAAGAAGCTCTAGAATGCAGACTCATGAAGTCATTTAGGAACCCCTATGCCCAAACCCTCGGCCCTTAGGATCCCAAGAATTTTGAGAACTGAGCTCACGTGAGCTATCTAAACCTATAGGCATGTACACAGAACAAACCTACGAAGCCTTTGAAAACTGAACCGACATTAGAATGCCCGTTCATAGAAGGTTAAAAAAAAAATCCACATTCTTCATTGCACATAAACAAGAGCCAGAGTCTTGTAATGTGACGCTTTTCACGTGTCCCTTGCAACACAGTCCACAATTGAACGTAAAAGAATATAGAACATTTTTCCGATGGGGATTTTAATTTATATACGTAAAGAGAGAGGCGATATTGAAAACAGCGGTGTCATAAAAGGGAAAGGCGCCATGGCCTAAATGGTGGAAAAGGTATTAGTAAACAGTGATGCATAGTAAATAATGTGTATATTTTCATCTCTAGTGCAATCACTAAAACATAGGCAACCACAAAAAATATAGAGGTGACTGCATATTGTCAAAAACATAATAGATGAATTAAAAAGGAATGCTGAAAACTCTTCAAACAACCCTTAAAAAGGCAAGAAAGGAGAGACAGGAATCTAAAAGTAACAAACAGGAAACAAATAATAAAATGGCTGACCCAGGCTAAATCCGAACATATCGATAATTACATGAAATGTAAATGGCCAGACACGCCCATGAAAAGCAGAGATTGTCAAATTGGATTTTTTTTTAAAAAGACCCCAAAAGACCCAACTGTATGCCGTCTTCTAGAAACTCACTTCAAATATAATAAGTAGGCTGGAAGCCAAAAGATGGAGATTAACGTGCCACCCAAACGCTAATCAAAAGACAACCGAACGATCATGGCAAGGTCACACGGTGGAATCCGAGTGTCCAGTTCCGTCCCTCGGAATTACCTGAACGCTCTATCGTTTCTTCCTGTGGGGACCGTGACTCCACATTCCATCTCTGCATTCCACGGAGATGTTCCAGGAAAATTTGACCTGTCCGTTCCTGGGACCAGCGGTGAAAGATTTTCTGCCCGTGTTTACATTTTCTTTTCTTTCTGGGCTCTATTTCGTCAAATGCACTTATATTATTGTAGTAATTATCGTAGTAGATAAAATGTTAAAGGCGCAGCATATGAAAAAACCACCACTATTAATCCTTGTGGATGTCTCGAATATCCTAAGCAGATAGTTTTGAGAAGCCTTCCTCCCTCTTGTTGTGACTTCGCTAGAATTGCCTTCCAGTTACTCAAAAGCATTCGCCTCTCCAGACCCTGTCGACCATAAACACACCTGCCTTTGCCTTCCTCCACCCAAGTCTCCAAGAAATGTGTCAACAGGTGAAATAGATTTCTTGTATCCTCCTTAGAAAATATTTAGTGGGCTTACTACTCTCTTCAGATATTCTTGAGGTTAGGATATTAGGTATCTGCCAGGTCACACATCAGCCTTCAAGATTGATCAGTGTTACCTAGACCTCTTCTGCCTCGGACTCAATGGTCACGTTTTCACTTCTCCATTCCCAGCGGAGAACACTGGAGTCCCGTCTGTCTGAGTCACTGTCACAAAGTCTGCTAGCTGAGGAAGCGCATCAGGTAAGGGTCTCGTTCACTAACGCTTCTGAAGACCAACTCCAGGGCCCCATCCCCTTTCTGATCCACTGTCTTCAGCAGGGTCTTGTTTCTCTTCTGCCACCTTGGCTCCTGCTACACCAGCCCCTTCTCACCCTCGGTGAGGACCTCAGTGTCCTGAAGATCGTCCAGGACCCCATCAGGGTCCCCTATCCGGGCTTGCAGCGGCCGGCGTCGCTTCTTCACAAAGGCTGCACCTGGACAGAAGGAAGCATTGTAGACTCGGAGGACAGCTCCGTCACAGGGTTCTGGACCAGCTGAAAATCACGATTCCGTGTGGAGATGTCGCTCGTCCCCCTTCGCGTGTTACCTATATCTCTCGCACACGCATTCTCAGGATGCGCAGTCCGTTTTCAGTGGCCCATGAATTGAGGTACGCTCAGTGAATTTTGTCTCCCTATTTGTACGATTGGAACGTAGAACACACCACGTGAACCAACTGGGCTGGGCTCAGAGGAAGGAGGAGAAATAATTGGTGGAAGAAATATCAACAACTTCAAATACGCAGATGACACCACCTGACCAGAAGAAAGTAGCGTTTGAAAAAGACTTCTGATGAAAGTGAAAGAAAGTGCCAGAACGAGACTGCATCTGGACATCAAGAAGAAAAGAGATCATGACTTCAGAAAAAATGTACGATATTAACAGAGATCATGGAGACGGTGAAATGGTTAAAGATGATTGTGCCGACCTCGGTTCAGTCATCAATTCAAATGGCGACTGCAGCCAAGAAATCGAGACGGCTGAGACTCAGAAGGGCAGCAACAGAAGAAATAGGAACGATCACCAAGAGCGAAGACGTGTCATCGGAGACCAAGGCCAAGATCATCCCCACCTTTGTGTTCCTGATTACTATGTACCAGTGCAGAAGTGGACAGTGAAGGAGGCTGACGAGAAAAAAGTTGATTCATTTGGAATACGGAGTTGGGGGAGAGCTCTATGGACACCCTGAACAGCAGAAAGAGAAACATCTGGGTCCCCAGCCTAAAACATCCACTGGTGGCAATAAGTGACGAAGCGGTCCTGCTTCGGGCACAGCATGAGAAGGTGGGGTTCTTTGGAAAAGACAGGAATTCTGGGAAAAACAGAAGGCGGCAGGAAAAGAGGAAGATCATATATGAGCTGGACTGACTCCATAGAAAGAAGTCGTGGGCACGAGTCTACGGGCGCTGAGCAGGGCTGGTGAGGACGGGACATTGTGGCCGTCACTCATCCATTCGGTCCCCAGGAGTTGGAGCTGACTCAACGGCATGCAACTAGCACAAAAAACAGACAATGTACATGCATTCTTCAATCCCGTCCACTCCGCCAAGCTTCGAGAGCCTGTCCCTCATTACTTCTCATTTCTCATCAGAACCCTAGAATGGGCTCTATGTCGTTGGACATTCACCTGCTCATTCCTCTAACAATCAAACAGAAACTTCGGGTTCCTAAATTGTCATTTTCTGTACCTAATGCTGGAGATATGGAGATAGACCTGTTCCTCCACCCAAGGGTTTTCTAATAAATCTGACTGGATAAATACAATACAGAAGAAACAGGAAACACGGGGTAAAGACAAGGTATTTTTCCATCTCGCATCCTCAGAATACATACACGATGGTGCGCGTCTGTATACGTTCTACGTGTGACCTTGGCCAAGCCATACCACTTTCTGGTACCTCAGTTTCTTCGGTCAAAGCGTGATTGCTTTTTATGTACAGCTCACGCCTCTCAAACTTTTTCTTAACACAATGGCACAGATAACGAATGCCCAGTCATCTGGGGCTATCACCAAACAGCGTGATTTGGTGATAAAATTTCTGCGAAGTCTTGGTATCCATATGGAAAAGGTTATTGGAAGTTTACATTCAATGACTCTTGAATGAAGTCGCTGTCGTAGAAAGATCCTCCTCAACTTATTCTTAGTGCCAGAATTGCTTTTCATTCCTCCTGTGTGTTAAGCAACTTCTCATCAGTCTTCGGCACTGGGGGCATAAACGTCACTCTTTTCCTTTCTCTTGGACTGCATTTTAATAATCACTTTGAAATAAGTTTCTCTATTGTCACCTGTCAGAATATACACCCCATGAGCGTGGGGTCCGTGCCTATGATGGCTTCACTATGTCTAAAGATGCTCAGTGTGTGATTGTTACTTCATGGCCGTCTGCACGTTCACACTGATGCTCTTCTGTGATTTTCCGGCGAAGCCTAGCCACAGTTTGTTGACGGGGCTAAACAGAAATGGTGGTCATAAAGCACAAATATGGGTACCCATAATATTTAGCACACCACAGAGGTTTAATAAGCTGTACTTACCATCATCTTCATCACCATTTCTTATTACTATAATGCCGTAAAGGAGATGGCTAGACTTTAGAGCAAAATCTTCGCTGAAGATTTAGTATCAGGGGAGGATTTGAAGGAGTGGGATTTGGGGATTACATACAAAATGACGCCAAGAAAAAAAGAAAAGAGGGGGAAAGAGATGTCACGATGTACAGGGCGAGAATCTGACTCAAGATGTACGCTGGGAGCAGCTTCCGAAGGGTCTTGTAGACTGAGCTAATGAGTTTCAATATCATCCTTCACGCAACATGGTAGATGCCTCTTGCTCAAGAGCCCTGTGTAGTAGGAAGTACAGAGACCTTTCTGTTGGCGCTACACAGTAACCACCTACAGGGACGTTCTTCGAATTTTGTCTAGTCATCTTTACCTGACTCTTAACCTAGATGTGTAGTCGAGTTTGAACCCAGTTGCAACTCCAGGTGTGGGGCACGACTTTTTTTTTTTAGCTAGTCTGTTCTCTGGACCTCCGTCCTGACAACCCAAGCTGGCTAGGAAATGGGTTTGTCACCGTTTCGAGCCAATGTGACACCCTGAGAGCCTTCTCTTTGTTGGCAGGGACCAGACAATGCTTGCTTTCTTCTCTGTCTGGTCTGTTTTGAGATGTGAGGCTTGTTACTTTTACAGGTGTGGAGACTGATGGCCCATCGAAGGCAGCAATATAGAAAGCAAGGTGGACCCATGGCTTCCTCTTGACGACATCTGAGCCACCGGATCAGCCTTCCTGAGAGTCAGCCCCACCTACCACCTTTGCTTTCACCTAAGCTGGGACACACCCTTTAAGTCCATTTAGGTTGAACTTTCTGTCTTTTGCCACACAGGTGTTTGTTTACACGGACATCCGGGACATTCTAGATTGCTACCTTGGGCAATTTAAAATGGAGAGGCAGGCGTGAGAAGATAAGGATTTGGAGACCCGAGTCTATTACTTACGGACGAGGGAACTTAGGTCCTCTGAACCTTGAGTCCTCATTTTAAATGATTTCTTTCTCTGCCACATACCAACTTCAATAACCTAAACCAGTTCCTGGCTGAAATGCTGTTCTCGATTTTCACTGCAGTCTCAAATTCCGGTTCCCCACTTCCCGTCCATGACTCGCCTACATTCAATCATCCCCTCTGTTCAGAAGAGTCAACGCGTTATTATCTACCTTTTAACAGTTCCCCTTCGCTTTCAGCCAAAGGTCCAAAATATTCCTACTGTCATTCTTAGACTTTCAGCTTCTCTTTCTTGCCCGCCTCTCTGGAAATCACGTTCGCTTTGCCCCTTGAAAGTGTAATTTCCAGCCATATCGGAATACTTTAATCTGTAGTTCCTCAAGTGCAAAATACTTCCCCTAATCAAACATGGTTGTGTGCTCAAAGTCTGCAAATTACACCCTAACACACTCACTGAAGTCAATCATACTCACTGCATGTATCTGTCTCTGACATCAGACTTTATAAATGACCAGGATGGAAGGAATGAACCCTCACTGAGTGACATCATACCACTCAAAGGCCTCCTGGAATCGGAACCAACCTGCTGGCTTTTAGTATAAACATTTCACTGACCTGACAGGGAGACAGGGGTTGATGCAGCACCAAACTGGAGATCCACTAGGAAAAAGAGAAAAATCAGAAGACGAGATGAAATCGATCACATACCCTTATTTAGTTTATCTAAACTCTGATGCAACCCACCAAAATAATTGAATTCCATTTCCTAAAGTAAGGATCCTGTTTTGGACATTAATATACTAATGGAACCCAAATAAGTAGGTCATTCGTCACCCATTAAGGAAATGATCAGAGGAAGGAACAAATTTTTCTAACATTGTGTCGACTCCCACCTGTTAGGAAATGAGAAGGCTATAACATAATCATATCATGCTGTCCTCCAAAAATCACCGTGTAGGCAAATGTGTTTTACACATAAAATGCCAACATCAAATGAGTAAATCTGAACATGTATTTTTTAAACGTTTTAGTAGGATTGTTGATAGCACAGAACTTTGAATATACTCATAGGTTGACAGAAGATTTGTCAATTGAACCACCATTTCAGAAAATGGACAAACAGTGTCTACCATTAAGCTTTCCACATGGTCTTACGTTTCGATTTTTAAAATCCCCAAAGTTGTTTAAAGTTCTGATGAATTTTGTGACCTCCTCCTTTGGCGATTGCTCAGTCTCCATGTATGTCAACAATTACGAAATTGCACAGAAAATGGAAATAAACAGACTTTATGCTCCTTCGGACTGTTCACTACCTCTTAGACATGAAGGGTTTCCATCCCCACTGCCAGGTGTACTTACTCACTTCACTCCCGAGATGGACCCCTGCCACCCGCCTTGGTTTCACTCACGTCGATTATCAACCGACAGTAGATTTACTCTCCTCTCTTGGATGGAACCACAAACAGACTTTCTCCTGTGACATATTTCGCTCCAACCCCGGGGTAGAGGCTTATGACTTTTTCTTCCCCAAAATTTCAGCATCATTCTTTTACTTACCTGGCTTCACCAAAGTCTCCCAGACTTAAAGTCTGATGTCTTTTTTCTGTAATTTTAAATCGGATCAGTTTCTTCATCTTCCCAGCATAGGCTTTAGAGAAAGGCTGGATTTCTCCAGGGTTTCTGTAGGACAATTTGAACTCCTAGAGGAAACACACCACTTGACTTGAAGCAGTGGAGGGTGGAAAGGACTCGTGGCCTACAGTGAACTGGCCAGTGAAATCTAACCCCTGGTTTTTTACGCAATCTCATGGCCGATTGAGTGGAAAACGGAGGGAGAAAGGTCAACATCCTTTTAAGTTTACAATTTTAAGAAATATTATGATTCCATGTAAGGACGTGTAGCTTACCACTCAGCAACACCTGGTTCAGAGAAGAATTGTCTGAGCTACACACCCTCCACCGGGCTTCCATTTATTTCAAAAGTACAAAACATTTTGAGACCTGTCGAGTCAGATTCACGTTCAACCGACCTTGGGTGCTATGTCCACGTTAGCGGTACAAGACGCAGTATAACGGGATCCAAAGTTCAGGGCTTCCACGGGGGCTGAGCTCTGCAGACGCACACCATGGAAACTTGCTTCCTCTCCATCTATTGCCTGAAGAAGAAGAGGCAAAAACGAATTAGAAAGCAAAAGTGAAAAAGTCAATAAGCAGAAGTAGGGGCATAGAGTTATCTATATGCTGTAGCATATGTATGATGCGATTCGATTGATGTAAAGATTTATATACAGACAGATACACATGTACGACGATGTCTCCATTCGTGAAAAATGTATCACAAACTTCTACGGTCGGTTATCTCAGAGCCAAGGGATTCCTTTTATTACACATCTCTGTAGAGTTCGGTTTTCTTTGTATGATGTAGAGATAAACGTGGCTGAGTGCTGCTTAAACCTGGGTACAAAGATGCTCCCCTCTTGTGCCTCGGCAGGGGCCCGTCTGTGTCTGCAGGTACATCTGTGACCTGACTTCTCACCGAGACCTAATTAGAGACCTAATTAGAGACCTGACTTCTCACCGAGGCAGGGTGGCTACCACGTGAGATGCTCTGCCACCCGAGCACCAACAAGCCATACAGAAGTGATGTCCCTTCCAAGAGGCCCAGGAGCCAGAGTGGAAGAATCCTTGGAACAATCTGAGCGGCCACCAGGTACAGAATAGAACTCAAATGCGTTGAACGATAATAGCATTTGAAAATTCTCAAATGCAGTTCAGTAGAGACGCTACAGAATTAAAGGGCAAGAATTTCTGTTACAAACGATTACAGTAGAGGGTGTTACTAGTCCAGTTAGTAAATATTCTCGGAGGTAGTGACCAGGAAGTGGGCAGGAAGGGGCAAGAGGAGGTTCCAGAGAAGCCGGCGATACCCTACTTCTTGGTCTGAGTGCAGTGTTGACTGTGCCAATTATGGAGCAACAATTTATCTGCCCATCTGATTGAGTTTTAAAAATCAGTAGATACATTTGAAGGAAAGGACGGTTGATGCCGCAACCTGAATTGGGCCTAGAAGATCAAGAAAGAGAAAAATTTCAAATTGTATTGATCAAAGACATGAAACCATAAATATTGATTGAATGAGTAAATAAATCTCCCTGGAACAGCGCTGTTGAATAAAAATATAATTTGAGCCCCAAATGTAATTTCAAGTTTTCTAGCAGCCATATTTTTTAAAAAGCAAAAAGAAGCAGGTGAGATTATTTTTAGTAATACGTTTATGACATATTTGATTTAACCCAACATATTATCATCTAAATATGTCATCGATATAAAAATTAAATGACATCGACGTACTTGTCTTCATATAAAGTCTTCAAAATCCATGTGTATTTTGAATTTACAGCACACCTCAGTTCAGGTACAGAGTAGGGACGTGTGGCCAGCAGCTAACAGAGAGGACTGTGCTGCTTCTACAGTAAGCAGGGTGGGTTCTCAGAGCAACGATAGGTATTTTGAGTTTAACTTACGGTTTCAAGCAAAGAAAAGATTTCTCCTCTCTCCTTATCCTCCAGAAGAAGGAAGACAGACCACGTTTCATTTGTTCTATTGACAAAATTTCATGAGCACCTACAATAGGCCCTACGCTGTGCTCGGAACTAATTTCTGATTAAGTGGCAACGGTCCCTCCCATCGATGGAACTTATGCTCTACAGAGATATAATAAGTTATATTATGAAAGCGAAGTTTGGAAGTAAATATATATGTATTCAACTATCTCTTTGTTTACCGATTTGTCGTCTGTATCTCTGTAGATTGTACACTCTGTAAATATTTCAATATCCGTTGGGATTAATGAGACATCGGATGTAGGAAAGAAAGGAAATAGAAGAATCGAACAGACATTCTAGGTTTGGACTTAAATAACTTAACAGAACTTGGTTTTCTATCGTCGATGGGGAAGAGGAGTTGAAATAACAGTTTTGGGGAAGAAAGGGGAGTGGGATCGTAGATACGGACGTAGTAACCCTCCTCTCACACAGAAATCACTTCGGGAACAGAAAGAATTCACCGAGACCACCAGCGAGTACGCGAAGGCTTCAGAGGAGGAGCCTACAGAGGCCATTAAAAGAAGGGCAAGGACCGAAACGGGGAAATTGAGTGTAACATCCCGCTGAGGATTTTGGGTGAGAATTACTCATCGCGGAAGTCGCCGGGCGCGTTAAACAGGGCCGTTTGAAGGAATGGTGGGGGAAGTCACCCAGTGGGAGGGATCCGAGGGCGGAAGTGAAAACCGAGCGATGTCGAAACCATGGAGCCGTAAAGCTATTGCTCCATGTTCTGAGACGCATCAGAGAAAAGCAGAAAGCGGTTGGAGGATGAAGAGCCGGCAGGCAACGCATCGCCAAGGGGCTATGCTGACGGGAATGAGACAGACACCAGGGTGGGAGAGGTTGAGGGTGGCGGTGAGGACGATGCCTCCAAGCGTGGAGTCCTCTGTAAGGCACGAGGGACAGGGATCCAGGACACGCTTTAAGTCACAGCCTTGTACAGGTAGAGGGCGGGATCGTTCATTGCGAAAGAACGGGAAGAGGGAAGAGGGTGCCAGATGAGGCTTACAAAGTCGAGGGTGGGAAAATGAGGTCGTTTGCATCTCCCTATCTCTATTGCATCGATAAGGTGGGAGGCAAGTGAGCAGATGAGATTTGGGGACGAGGAAGGAAACAAAACAAGCAAGGTGAGGCTGGGGACCGGGCTGTGTCCAGAATGAAGAGAACGGTCACCTAAGAATTCGTTTTTCTATCGTTTTCTTTTCCTGTGTACTCTGGGAATGGCCATCTTTAGCATCCAGATTAAAACGTTTTCTCTTGTATTTTCAATACTTTCCTATTAGTCACACCCCTATACACTGCCAGGCAGGCACCTACCTCTTACTGGGATGTGGGAGCACTGAACAATAGGACAATAAACTCTTCCCCCACCCCATAACCTCTTCACTAAGGCTGGGGGGATAGAAATGGTCCTTTATCCAGAAATACAGTAGCTGTGGAGCCGCGGCCAGCAACACATAGGCTTTGTCGCCAGCCCAGGAGAGGGTGGCGGACTACGAGCCTTTTGCAAACGAATTAGAGGGAGATCCAACTGAATAGGAAAATGAGTCCAGAGGATGCTGTGTGTGTGTGTGTCTGTCTGTGCACGTGTGTGCGTGCACGTGTGTACATCGTGCGTGTGTGTGTGTGCGTGCGGTATGCGCATGCGTGTTTAATTCAGATATTAGTAATATAAAATTTTACAATGGAACACTGCATCTTAATCCCTCTGCCGGTCCTCTAGAAGTCACCTCTCTCTTCTTCCTTCTCCTCGAGGACCAGAAAAGGAAGCTCCATTTTTAGTAGAAATGAATTTCCAGGGCGGATCACTGCAAATCGCTCCAGGGTCTGCGCCTATGGATTAAAATCATGGAGGGTGATTCATACTTCTAATGAAGAAAATTGACTTCTCTGTTTAAGAAGAAGATGGAAGGTCCAAGGCGATAAGCTGGGAATGTAATTCTCACCGTCTTCTCTAAAAATCTATCAGCCTTACCTTGGTTAGCAAGGTGTTGCTGGGGATAAGTAAGATACAAGTGGAATTTAATCTCTTTGGGGTTCCAGTGATAACTGATCAGTGTCGTAGATGTGATGGGGATGGAAAGACGGGTCCCGCTGGCAATCCTCAGGAGGATTCTCATCAGAGAGAAGCTGGGGTTTTCCAGGACTGCGTAGAAAGGCTCCACGCGGGCTGGTGGCTCCAGGACCATGCCTTCATCTTTAAAACGGGTGACGTGGAACCAGGAGACACCCACGCCATCTGCTGGAGGAGCACCATGAAGGCGATGAGCGAGAGGTTCCCCAGCCCACCCCCCACTCTCTTCCCTCACTACCTGGGAGGGAGATGAAAGGAGGGAGGTAGATTTCTGCAATGGCCTCTCCAGGCTCCACGGAGATGTCCAACAAAGGGCCCGCCACCATCCACTGCTCGTGGTGCTGTAGGTCTGGGGCCAGGTGCTGACTCCAAGAATCGAATGGGATCGTCACAGTCACCACCGCCCTTACCCGCAAAGCGAGGCCTGTGGCTTGGGGAAGTGGACGCTGAAAGGAACCGGAGTGACGGTCATCCTGGGAGAACGCCGAGACTTTGACTTAAACAACAATTACGTAGATGACTGCGACGTCACAGTGAGGCAATGTTCGAGACCCATCTGTGACTTTTACTGTATTAGAAACCTCTGGGGAGCCCATTGAGCTCCCTGGGTTCCAATTTCTGTGTCTTCTATCTATGTCGAAGTTAAAATACCAACTTAGTACATGAAATACACATACTATTGATAAAATTTCAGATGTCTTACAGGTTTCAGCATGCATCCTAGACAGTATCACGTAATATGTACTTCCTTGATAATAGGATTGTATTTAAATACTCAGCATCTTCTGTTCTTACCTGTATTTGTTTACACTCTTATCAATCAAGTCAACATCCACGATCCCTTCAGGTCCCAGAAACTGAGGACTTTGACGCATTGGTTTAAACCCGGAAGAGAGCGTGACAGCTATGGAGGGTACCAGCTGCCTCTCTTTTGAGCAAACATCTCCTGAAAAGAAGATATCGCGCATGTCGGACGTAGATGTTTGGAAAAGGCATTGCCCGAAGGAGTCTTGGATATTCACTTATCCATACGCTGTCGGGAAAATAGATATTGGAGAGAAGGGTGTGGGGGCTTTGTTCTAGGAACCCAGGTAAAAGAGGGCGCGCAAATGTTCTGTTGAAATCGTTCCCCCAAATTTAAGAAGGAAGCCAGGCTGGACAGCTTTGACGGGATGGTATTTCCCTAGGGCGGGAACCAAGGCCACTGAATCTCTACGCGGTCCCAATAGCAGATGATACCTTCTGTTGGCGAAGAAAGTCAAGTGCAGAAAAGGGACAAGTGCGAAACGCTGAAGAGGCAGAGGAACACTTGTTTGCTTGAGTGCCCGCCACCACCCCGAGGCGCCCCAGACCACCCCGGGTTCCCTGAGAGGCTCCACAACGCAGCGGTGACAGCCTTATCAGCAGCTCGGGGCGACCCTCCGCGCATGCGCGGCACCGTACCACTTCCACCCTACCCCCAGACGATGTCAGCTATTGACGTGAATACAAATTACCTTACCCAGGGACCACATGGCTGGCAAGCACAGGAGCTGGGCTGGGCATCGAGGTACAAACTCCCGTGCGCATGCTTTTCCTGAACCTCCCATGGCTTTCAAACTACTTCTCACCACGTGGGACGGTTTCTAGCTAGAAGCACTTAGGGTGGAGTATGCAATGATGACGGCCAGAAACATCAAACTCGAGCAATTTATTCCAACCCAGTGCAATGAGCATGATACGGACTGAACTGTGTCCCTCCAAGATCCACACGCTGATGCCCTAACCCCCAGTGTTGCTGTGCTTGGAGATAGGGCCTATAAGGAGGTAATTCAGGTTAAACAAGGTCATTAGAAAGGACCAGGAGTCAT